GGGGGGGCGGGGGGCAATAAACAGAGACATCAAAAGCGAACCAGTGCAGATGTATTCTAGAATACACAGGTTACATGGCAAAACTTAGAAGTGAACCCCAATGTTATTTGATTCCCCACACATGTTTTAACTTCAATTGAGTTCTTCTGCATTTCAGTGGTAGCCCACAACCCAATCCCCAAACCCAAAGAACATTAAGTTTATCGGTAAAGACAGAACCAAGGCAAGGCATTGACAAAATATTTTTCAATTAGTACTTGAACACTACAATCCAATAAACCAGCACAGGATTAGCATTTCTTGGAAGGATACCTCAAAGTCAAGTGTACAAGTAGTAGAGACGAAAAGAATATTGTTAATTCATATATTCTCTCAAACCTGTTCTTTCTTTCTCTCTCATTTCTTTGTTTTCTAACAATATCAGGAAATGCCATTTAATTGCAAAAGTGAAGGGTATAAAAAAGGGTGATCTGATCACTATTACAACCATTATTTAGCATTAATAATCAAGGATATAATGATGATGATATCAACAATTACTGCAACAAATGTGATGGCAATGAAACTAACCTCAACCAAAATTCCATCTCCACTAACACAAACAATCCCATCGTACTTGGTAATATCCAACGAGCCAGCAACTTCCTTTGCATGGAGCTGATGGCTGGTTTCTGAGGAAAATCGTATCATAAAAAAAAATAATAAAACACGGAAATAACAAGAGAAGGAAAAAGTGTTTGAAGAATAAGAGCACCTTGGACGGTGATTTGGATTTGAGCATCTTCAAGAAGAGGCTTGACCTGCTCAACGAAAATCTCCGAAGCGCATTTCCTCCCACCAAACGGATTAACGAAAACAAACAACCTCTTAGGGCGACCTGCATTGTGACAGGCTTCAAAACGACGTCGTTTCGAACGAGACAAAAAACAAAGCGAAATTAAATTTACCGAGAGAATCAACGAATTCGCGAAGCTTTTGGCACCAGAGCCCGTGCGAGGCCTGGGAGGAGGGCATGAAGACGACGTCGTTTCTGACGAGCCTCGCGGGGCCACCGGAGACGCAGCAACCGTCGCGCGACTCGACGAGACTCTTGATCTTGATGTAGGGCCCACTGGCGACGAACCCGAGGACGTCCTTTTCCACCGACAGGCAGCGGTGGATCCCCTCCGACCACCAGAGACGGCCGTCGGCGAGGAGCGCGAGCGGCGTGACGGTGCCGTTAACGGTGACACGGTCCGACATTAATGGACGGTGGTGATCCATTTCCGCTTGCAGTCTGGGATGGCCCACCGCCGAATATTAATGGCAATTAAATTTAAAACCGCTCAAGATTGAATTTGAAGATACAAACAATTACTACTAATACTATTACCAATCTTACTAAACTTAGGAACTTGTTAATTCCTCGTTTTTCACCAATAACTCTTAACTCACGCTGCACTCAACCTGTTTAGTGACATCACCATTCACCACACATTATCTATTTCACTTTAATTGCTTTATATTATCAATTAATCAAGTGTTTTTCATATATTATTTCATCCACTCCGATCGTCACTCAGACTAAAAATCTTATTCACAGTTTAGTTTCTATAAATTCGCGAAAATCAAATCATCATGAAATTCGGTTTAAATTATACAAATTTAATTTTTGCTCAAAATTAAAACTTCATACCTTCCATTTTATGAACGAGTTCGAGTCGGCCCAATTATAAACTTGATACATGTCATAGGCTGTAGTAAATCAGGCCGAAAGAAAGCTAAGGCCCAATTTTGACTTTTGTTGGTTAACCCCATGATAGGAGACTCACATATGTTGGGCCTCATTTATTATTGGGCCAGACTGCTCCTATTTTGAAACTAGTATTTGTAGACATTCCCTTTTAACTCGATGTTCACACTCAGGGTTTGTTTGGATTTGAGGATGGAAAAGGGGGAGTGGAAAAGGAGGGATTTGAAGGGAAAGTGAGTGGAAAGTGGGGTTGTTTGGATTAAGGAAAAGTGAGTGGAAAGTGTAGAGAAAGTTTGTGAAAGTTTGTGAAATGAATTGATTGATGTGATAGATAAAATAAATTTTTTAATTGATAATTGAAAGATTACTATTTTGCCCTTAGGTTAAAAAAAGTTTATAATTATTATAATTAAAAGATAAATATATAAATTTTAACTAAAAAAATTATATAAAATTAATTTAAATATTTGCTTTAAATTTAATGATAGATAAAAAATAAAAATTTAAGAGATGAATATATAATTTACACTTTTACCCTTGGATTAAAAATGAGTATAATATTATTTATTGTAATTAATAATAATTACAATAAAATTATATTAATAGGGTTTATTTACTAAAAAAATAATAAATAATGATAAGAATAATAATAAATATTAGAAAAATAATAAGAATCATAATAAATAATAATGATACTAATTATAATAAATAATAATATTAATATTAATAAAAATAAAAACAATAATATTTATAATAATAAATAATAATAACAAAATATATTATGATAATTATATTTTGTAACATTATTTTATTAATGTTTATGAAAGTGTTATTATTTTAATTTTATAAACATGTATTACTTTATTTTTTTATATTTCCACTTTTTGATGTTAATATTTAAATAATAAAAATTTGTTAATATAAAAAAATGTACAATAAATTTTTTGAAAGTTAATTAATAAATTAAAAAAATTGATAAATCATTAACATAAATTACAATGAAATGAAGATACATTTGTTAATTGTACAAGTTAATTTTTACCAATTAAAAAATTAAGAAATTTTTAACATTACAAAGTAGATGGGTAATAACATATTTGTAAAATGGAACAGAAAATACAATTCAGTCATCAATTAAGTAAACAATAATTAAATATGACATAAAATAATAGAAATGAAAAATGTTGCAACTAAATAAAACATATTTAAATTACAATAATAAAAAAGAAAATAAGATAACGTAGTTTATTCAAATGAACGCTGAAAGTCATCAAATTTTTGTTCGAGGTCATCAAGCCTGTTATGTACTCGATCGAAACCTGTGTTAACATTGATGGTCAAATTATTTAATCCTTCTTGTAACCCTTGAATGCCAGTCCATATTTGGGAAAGCATTTGACCATCATACTGGACTGGAGGTTGTTGTGTGATGTCGGCAGGCTGCTCCTCACCATGGTCCTCAGGCATTGCATGGTCTTCATCTTCAACATTTTGGCCATGATGATGATTATCCCTGCCATGTATCCATACCCCGTTGACATTCACGACATTTAATTTTTTCAAGGTATTTTTATTAAAAAAATGTGCCCACCCTAATTCGACTGCAACATCAATTGATAAGTCTACGCCATAAGCAGCCAAAATGTGTGAAATTAAAATGGGGTATGGAAGAGGCATCCCATTGTCCTTGCATTTGACCATGTGTTGCATGATATAATGGGGCCAGTTGATCAAAATGTTATTCTTTAAGGCCCATAACAGAAAAATGTCTTCCTGCAAGAGTTGGGAAAAGTTACTTGATCTGGGAGCCAATATATGGACGTAGACATAATGTAGGAGTCTGTCGTTAATGTTAAGACTTCCTACATTTCTGACATTTCGGCCCTGCAGCTCTGGTCTAATCATAGATGTGAGTGCTATGTGACGGTCGAACTGCATCTCCTCTGGGATGTTTGGAAATGCTAATTTGTGCCCCTGATACTTCAAACCAACCAGAGATAACCAATCAGATGGTTTTATTTTTATCTTTGTTTTGTTGACGTCACTATAGAGGAAACCAGCTTCAGATACTCTCAAGTTGGAATAGAAGACCTTAATAAGATCTTCAAAGAAATCACATTTGAGAGCCACAAAATGCTGCAAACCTTGATATTCTAAATGGTGGTGAAAATACAGCCCTGATGTGGCAAAGTAGCTAAAGTCCATAACCTTTGGATGAAGGACTATCCTGTGGTAAAACTCCTTGCCATATTTAATCATCTGATCACGCTGGCTGAAAAAACGTGTCTGATTTAGAACTTCTTCAATTTGTGGTAATCTAGGACCAGCTGCTCTGTCCGAGGTGGCAGGAGTTTTTCCTTTGCTTTCTTTTGAACTTCTTTTTCTTGAACCGGATGTCATACCTGAAAATTATATATAAAATAACCAATAACAAATATGATGTTAAACATAAGACATATTTCATAAAACATAATTGCAAGTAATAACATTAAAATGTATCTTTGACCATTAATAAATACTTTTATAACATTATGGTCAAGTTTACAATGTTTAAATCATTAGTAAAACATTACATATAATGCATAAAAAATACAATAACTAAGAATCACAAATCAACCACTTTGACCCATGAACTTTAACAATTGGTTGAGGCGGAGATGTGGGGGTAAGCCAAAAAGTCGCCTAACATGTGATGGATTATTACACAAAAAATCATAACACTGAACCATAACTTGCTCGTCTTGCAAGTTCATAGCGACTAACATGTCCCAAATATTTGATTCTGAATATTGAACTGTTGATGTTTGCTTCAAGATATTAACTTGCTCATTAATTATTTCGTTCCTTCGTTCAATGGCAACCACTTGTCGTTCAACAATATCAGATAATCTTTGGGTCAATGCATTACCTTGACCAAGGTAATCTGTAAATGCATCGAGCCTCGTAGTTAGCCTATCAAATTGTGCATCCATCACATCAATCATTGGGGCTTTTCTTTTTGTGCCTCGAGATGACGATGTTCCAGTAGTACCACCAGATGCAGCAGATGGCACTGACTGAGTACCATCAACAGGACTACAGGAACCACAGTGTGGTGGCGACCGATATGCTGTATCAAACCCTGCCTGAAAAGGGTCGTCCTGTGGTATGTCATTGACATCATCGTTCAAGTCGACCGTTACACTTGGCATACCGATATTTCTACGGGCTTGTCGTGCAGTCCTAGCCATATGGCCTGTCGCCCGATCAACTCCCCATAATTCTTCCATCAAGTCATAGTACCTAATGGAAGACACTCTCCATTTAGCTGCAGCTGGCTTTGCCTGCAAATAAAAACCATGATTATCACTCATAATTAGTATGTTTCACTAATTCAATAAATCCCGAATATTAAAACATTACCTGCAGCAGGTCATGCCATACTTCAGGCTCAGCTGTAAACCGTTTCGTGGACTCATCCCACGCAAATCCACTAAGTCCACTAAACAAGTCGTGAACCTCCCGCCATCTATCCTTCAGACTTTTTTGTCTATTTTTAACATTATTTTTCGTGATACCCGTTAATCCAGTCTGTCGGAGGGCTTCAACAATATTATTGTATGCTTGGGTTGTCCAACTACCATCAACCCGATTGCCCAACCTAGCCTCGTCAAGCATGGCAGTCAACAAACGAAAGTCCATGTCATCAGTCCATTTAGTGAACTCGCGGACCGTAGTCGAGGAATCAGGTACAACAGTTTTTCCTCTGTTCATTTTCCACCTATTTTTTGCAAAAATAAGGCACGCAATGATGAAGGGCCACACCCTTTTTCCATCTTGTGTCAATTAAAAGAATCATCATATAATAACAACCAAGTTTTCATGAATTCAAAATTAGGGACAACTTTGTAAAGTTAGCATACCCTAAATTCTCTCACGATGAATGAAAACATAATATCACAAATGGGCTTCCACACCAAATGGATACAATGGATGCGAATGTGTCTGGTATTAGTACAATTCCAGGTAATCGTAAATGGAGATAGTATTGGCCCAATTACACCAGCTAGGGCCCTTCGCCAAGGTGACCCACTCTCTCCGTACTTGTTCATCTTGTGCACTGAAGGCCTTACCTCTCTTCTTAAATGAGCTGAGGCACGAGGAGATCTACATGGCATATCAATATGCAGGGGTGCCCCCCAAATCACACATTTATTATTTTCGGATGACTGTTTTCTATTTTGTAGGGCCTCAGATAAGGAATGCAATACTCTCAAGGATATTCTTCTTCAATATGAATCAACATCAGGCCAAATGATTAATTTACAAAAATATGAGATTTACTACAGTCGTAACACCACACAAACCATACGTACCTCTATCAACTCAATCTTAGGAGTCAAGGAATGTTTAGGAACTGGGAAATACTTGGGATTGCCATCTATGGTCGAAAGAAACAAGAAAGCTATTTTTAGCTCAATAAAGGACCTCATCTGGAAAAAGATCCAACACTGGACAGGAAAACATCTATCAAAAGCAGGCAGAGAAACCCTTATAAAAGCAGTAGCTCAGGCCATACCTTCATACTACATGAGCACGTTCTTAATTCCTCCTAGCCTTGAAGATGAGCTTCAACGCATGCTTAATTCATTTTGGTGGGGCTCTAATGGGAGACGTGGAAGAGGTATTCACTAGCTTAATTGGGAAAAGCTATCCATGCGCAAGGAACACGGCGGTATGGGCTTCCGACATTTCCACGGATTTAATCTAGCTATGCTAGGGAAGCAGGGTTGGAAACTCTTAACCAACCTCGATGCTATCTTTACAAGAGTCTTCAAATCCAGATACTTCCCACAAGGGGATTTTTTGGGGGCCCGTTTAGGCCAGAACCCAAGCTACATATGGCATAGCATCTTTTCTTCACAGGTAATAGTCAAGAAAGGAATCCGTTGATGTGCTGGGAATGGTTCTCGCATTAATGTTTGGAAAGATCCATGGCTGTGCCAGTTAGGAAATCCTTACATCTCCTCACACACACCCACAAGGAGTGAATCTCTCATGGTAAAAGACCTTATTGATTTCTCCACTAGACACTGGGATTTTCCAACTTTATCTGCTCTTTTTCATCAGCAAGACCTACAAGCCATTCAAACTATGCCTCTACTTCACCTAAACAAGCCAGACATGGTCACTTGGACACTAAATAGGAAAGGCATCTATACAATGAAATCAGCCTATTATCATCTTTTGGAGCACACCATTTCAAATGTCGATCTAAGAATTTCAAGCAACTGGAAGTTATTATGGAACCTGAAAGCCCCTCATACGATGAAGATCTTTCTATGGCGCTTACTACGTGGATGTTTACCTACAAGGATAAATTTGCAATGTAAGCATGTGCCATGCACCACGCTTTGTGTCTCGTGCAACTCAAAACTAGAGAATGAGTGGAACGTATTCTTCACATGTGCAACTGCAAAAGACATATGGACATCTTCGGGTATGTGGCATATATATATATATATATATATATATAAATTAAATATTAAATATTATCGAACACAATGTTAAAAATCGAATATTAAATTATATATATACAAAGAATTAATAATCAAGATTGATTTTATTCAAAATTTAGTGTTGATTCTATATATGATTATGTGGTAATTTCTTTTCCTTTCATTTCTTATCTCACCTCATAAGATTGAATGTTAATGATTCAATCATTAAATAATGTGATACGATCTTAATGAATATATGCATGAAATTATATATAATTTAGAGATTCCTAAATATAGGAGTTACTTGGAAGAGTTTCTTATGAGTCTTATAAGTTTGTTTTAGTTTATTTTCATAAGTTTATAGTCGTAAGTAATACTTTTAAATTCTTTGAATAAATTCTATGACTAGATTTATAAAATCTAAACTCTAATGTAATAAGAGCATATTAAGTAAGTACTTAATTAATGAAACAATTCATTTAGAAAAAAATTTTATTTTATTTTTGTAAACTTATATATGCGTGCTTTTGGGATAAACATTTATTAAATAAATGTTTAATAAAGTTATTTCATTAAATACATATTTAGTTCATCTTATTTTGAAAAACAAAATCATTTTTTTACAACTTTCTAAAGGAACATTTTATAATATGTGCTAATAATTTCTAACATTAATGATTTTTAAATATGCATGAAACTATTTATCTATATGTACCCATAATTTGATCCAGTTTTTTGTTTACGGATATTTAAACTAATATACAATAAGCTAATAAAGTAGTGCGAAAAAATATATAATAACTTTTAAATTATATAAATTTTTTAAATCTACTGTTAGAGTGCTAAAATTAATCATTCGTAAAAGGTTGTTTTTGGTGTACTCTCGAGACATACATCTGGTATGGATACATCTTGCCTAAACATCTCATATGGTCACACTCATTGTTGCATTCATGCAAGACAACAAATCAATTTGTCCCCAGCCACATGATTTTTATTAGAATAATTAACCCCAAAACACTAGCCAATGGATGGTTCCAAAGGACTACAAAATGCTAGAAAGAAAAAAAAATAATATATTAGGTGAGAGCAGAAGAGAAGGGACGGCCCTGTATGATCCATCTCTTAACTAACTACAAAAATATATGAAGGAAAGAGAAATTCAAACACTTTGGAAAATAAATTCGAAAAAAGGAATAACCCCCACAGCACAGGAAGAAGAAGCAAAACATAATGTAAAGAAATAATTGAGGGGTTACGAGAAAGTGCGAGGTGCAGCAAGATAATCTGAAATTGTAAACCGATCACAATAAATAGGTTGTGATGCCATCTTTGCTCAAATTAAAGACCCCACCAAGTCGGGACTGACATCATGTATTATGGTTCTACTGATATATTAGAAGCAGGAAAGAAGAACAGCTGGAACCGAAAATGGAGAAGGGTAATCGATTATGCTTGGTGAGATAATCGATTATGCCCTTCCATAATCGATTATGGCTCACCCATAATCGATTATACAAGGCCATAATCGATTATCTCACCAACCATAATCGATTATCCTTCTTGGTATATATCAAATGGGATGAAACTTACTTCAATGGAGGAGCTCCTTTCACACTCACCAACACGAACCAGTCACTCACCAACACGAACCAGCCACACACCAACGCACCAGCCGGTTGAGAACGTCAAGCAGCAACACGCACAGCCCGTGGAGAAATCTGTGAAGACAAACCTCACGTCAAGCAGCAACACGCACAGCCCGTGATGACAAACCTCCTTTTAATATTATTTCAAACGCGGTGTGCCTACTCAACGACAAACCTCCTTCAATAATGCAGTCAACAATGGCAGAGATTCCTGAGTCACAGTATGCACGCATGACACAACGATACAGGAAGGTCCGTAACAAAGATTCCTCTGTTACATGCCACAGTATGCATGCATGTACAAGGGCATTTTTGGTTTTTCACAAATCTTACGTGTCTTTCACCTCCTTTCTTCCCTCTCGTGCGAGGATAGCAACAGTACTTCTCCTCCCTTTTCTTCGCTTTTCCTTCGTCACAAATTACCGGAAACAAACGCCAACTTTCCTCGCCTCTCGTTGCTCGTAAACAGTACATCACTCGAAACAAACACTACCTTAGTTACACCCCTTACAAACACTGTACCATGTTTGGAGTCTACCAAAACAATGAAAAAAAAAAAAAAAAAAAAAAAAAAAAAAAAAAAGACACAAAGATAACAAATGTATTTCTAAACTATAACATAGCCAGTAAATAAAGCTTTTTAGCAACATGCGAACTCATCTCTTATAAAGTAAAGAAGAATAAATCTACATTTTTCTACCTGGGGGTTGAAGGGTAAAAAGATTAAAGTGAACAACTGGGATACCGTTACCATGTTACCATCAGCATAAATACTCCTGTGAGGATATATAATTGGATATGGAATGAGTACCGTATGATGGAATTAATGAATGAAAAAAAATGAAACTTTTGTGCTAAAATAAAAGTGGATGTAATTGCGGTTGTCACCTTTATTATTATTATTATAATTAACTTATAAGTCTGGGTGGATGCTTGGTCGACATGTTCAAGTGATATGTTGAACTTTTTCATAAAAGAGAAGACATTTTAAAAAGGATAAAGGAAAGGAAGTATTCCACGATGAAAAAAAAATAATAATAAAAAAATGGTGCTACTACGTAATACTCAAACAATGGTCATGTTGGGGGAATAAGTAAGTGATTATGTTCCAAGTGGCAAAAAAATATCTACAACAGTATGAGTCTGAACTCTGAACTCTGAACACCTTCTGAATCACCCCACGTGGCAAACCCCATAAAATATTGAGAAAGATTCTGAATCGAACGGCCCAGATCCCAAGATCTTCTGCGGCCGCCCAGGCCCAACAACCACTTCCAGATTCGCAAACCCATCACTCACACCGTTACTTAACAGAAACAAATCTCAAAAGAAACTGTGTCCGCTTCGTTTATGCGACAAATATAAGCGTCAAAGCCGAGAGAAAATTCGGCGAAATTTCTCAGATTCTGCACTTTGGATTTTCAGCTTTCTGCTTTTCTATCCTCTCGCCCTCCAACGAATCCCTCACAGTTTGTTTCCCTTTCTCTCTCTCTCTTTATAAGGATTTGCGAGTGACGACGAACTCCGCCAGCAGAGTACAGAGTCCGTTTGGTTGCTGAGAAAACGAAGGAAAAGGGGTGTGGCGCTCTGAGATTCTTTTCTTTCACTTTCTCTGCAAGCAAACGGTGAGAATGCAGACGAGGTACATGGAGAAATCCAGGGAGAAGCGAGCCTTAGATTCATCTTCCGCTGAGGATGATCAACCTGAAAGAAAGCGACCTGCTTTGGCTAGGTATTTCTTTATATCCAAACAACAACCATCTTTCTTTCAAGCTTAATTTTATCCTAAATTTGCTCATCAATGTGTTTACTGTTTTTCTTCGTTTATTCGTATCAATTTGCAGTGTAATTGTTGAGGCGCTGAAGGTGGACAGTCTGCAGAAGCTTTGTTCATCACTGGAGCCTATTCTACGTAGAGTTGTAAGAAAAATAAATTATGTTCATTGTGGTAGGCCTAGGCTAGATGTCATTACTGCTAGGCTTAAATAAAATTGGGTAGAGAATTAGATACTTTATATTTAACCTTAACTAAATTTTTTTTTTTTTTTTTTTTTTAAATATTCCTTGCGACAAAAGCTTCCAGGAAGGAGCAACATATTTATTAAGAGCTTGTTTGCATACAAGCTTAGAAGAGCTTTAGATAGTTTCTTTACAGAAAATGAAAAACTTTTTTCAATAGACAAGTTCTCAAGAACATCTCTAACTTGTATTTAATCAAACTCTCAGTCCATCATTTTGTTGGTGTATCTGTATGCCTTGTGTTGTCAAATAGAATTCAATGGAACAACACCGTAGGCAAAGTGAACTATTTATGTATGTATGCCATTTTGCATGAGTGATGTTTGACCAAGGATATGTTTTATATCTTATTCTTGCTTTCTGTTCAACAGGTCAGCGAAGAAGTAGAGTGTGCTTTAGCAAAATTAGTCCCTACAGCCAAGCTTAGTGGGAGGTATTATTTTGTCACCTCAAAGTCAATTTCATGACCCATAACATATTTGTTTGGTAATTTGATCTTATCCTAAGGTACTTGTATCGATATTTTATTTTCTAATACTCAAAGTAAAATACAGGTCGTCTCCCAAGAGCATAGAAGGCCCTGATGACAGCAGTCTACAATTACAATTCAGGAATAGGTTATCCCTTCCCCTCTTTACTGGGGGGAAAGTGGAGGGAGAGCATGGCACCGGCATACACATTGTTTTGGTTGATACAAAAACAGGCCATGTTGTCACATCTGGCCCAGCTTCATGTGCCAAACTAGATTTATTTGTACTTGAAGGAGATTTCAATAATGAGGATGATGATAATTGGAATGAAGAAGATTTTGATAGTCATGTAGTTAAAGAGCGAGAAGGAAAAAGACCTCTTCTGAATGGTGATCTGCAAGTGACACTGAAGGAGGGTGTAGGAACACTGGGTGAGCTTACATTTACAGACAACTCTAGCTGGATACGGAGTAGGAAGTTCAGGTTGGGGCTCAAAGTTTCCCCAGGATGTTATGAGGGAATGCGTATTCGTGAAGCCAAAACAGAGGCTTTCACTGTTAAGGATCACCGTGGAGAACGTAAGTACATAACTTGGTTATTTTTTTTCTATCCTTCTTCTATAACGAAACTTAAACTTGATTGCAGTATACAAGAAACACTACCCACCTGCCTTGAATGATGAGGTCTGGAGACTGGAGAAGATTGGCAAGGATGGTTCCTTTCACAAAAGGCTAAATAAAGCAGGAATATTTACTGTTGAAGATGTCGTACGACTTGTGGTCAGAGATCCACAGAGATTACGAAATGTAAGAATCTTTAGACACTTTGTCAGGGGAAGGAGTTTTAAGTTTGATCAAATGTTCAAATCCTATTTGTTTGGGCTTGACTTCGTGATCTAAAAATTTTATCTATGTATAGGTTCTTGGAAGTGGCATGTCAAACAAAATGTGGGATGTTCTTGTTGATCATGCAAAGACTTGTGTTCTCAGTGGAAAACTCTATGTATACTATACTGATGATGCAAGGAACGTTGGTGTTGTTTTCAATAACATCTATGAGTTGAGTGGTTTAATTGCCGATGACCAATATTACTCCGCTAATTCTCTCACCGACAGTCAGAAGGTAAGTCAACCTCCACAGTAAATTTTTCATTCATGTTCAAATCTAGACTGTACTGTTGGATCTTCCTTGGTATGCTTAATTCTCGGCCACTTATTGAAAATGTAGTCTATTCTTGTGGCTTCGTTGTTTATACCTTGTACAAGCAATTCTTCATCTTGAAAGCATTGAACTCTAAGAAGAATATGCACTTAATTGGATCCTGTGCTTGACTGCAAGTCATTTTGCTTTTATTCTCGAAGTTCTTGCAGTACAGCATGAAACATTTTGCTGGTTTTAAAATGTTGCTCAGGCATGGGATATCCTCCATATGTTTGTTTTGAACTTTGAGTGAACAGATCTTACAGGCAGTTTGGCCTAGTATAAATATACCACTTATTGTTCTAGTGGCCATAAGGTGACAAATTCTTCTAGGAAAGGAAAAGTTAAAGTTTAAATAAAGTTTCGAAAAACTTTAAGGAATAAAAAAAGGTGAAATATCTAAAAAAATGCTTGTGTCTGGTTCTTGTAGGTTTATGTGGACACATTGGTGAAGAAAGCATATGAGAACTGGATGCATGTTATTGAGTATGATGGCAAGTCTCTGCTAAATTACAATCAGAATAAGACTTTGGGCACCTCTCAACCTCTGGCTCCATCGGGTTCCCATGATTATTCAATTTCAAACTCACTTGATCCGCAGACCTCCATCCCTAGTCTACCAGTTCCTGTACCCACTGGGCAGCCTTCAACGGATCCAGCAGTAACAGTTGGAGGTATATAGTTCCAGCTAAAAGATTATTATATAGAAACAGAACCACCGGGATTTTGCAAGTTTACCTTTATATATATTTTTTAAATTCCCTCCTGTATGTTGTTTTTTTCCTGTTGTTTTTCTTCTCATTCATTTTTCCTTTTTTCAGTTAGTGCCCATTTAGCAAACTACAAGAATATTCCTCCTAATGTGGCACACATTCTAGTGTAGAAATCTGAGGTTTAGATTAATTTAGGCACAATCACAATCAACAATACAAAATTTATTCTTTTAAAATCAATTTTACTCAACTCTAAAATAAATGAGCCCTTAGTCCATAGTCATACACCTATCACTCTTAATGTTTCTCTTCTGAAATTGACTAAGTGGACAATTCTTCACACACACTCTGGGCAGCAAACTTTTTGTATTTTTATTTTAAATTTTAGTCAGTAAATATTATTTAGATTTTGAAGTGCTTGACATGATATTAAAATAACAATTTAGCTATGTTTTACATTGTGAAATCATTATCCCTCGGGTTGGGATTACTGTTAGTATTTATCAAAAGAGAAAGTTATCATTATATGATCAATTTTTTTTGACACATCAATGTATAGAATATTTTCCTCACAATAGATTTTGTTTGGTCAAAACACATAATAGATGTTTGTCTTCAAAAGAATGGTTTCAAACTAGTGATGGATCCAAAAAAAATTTAAGTTGTGGAGATAATACCCGCATATAAACTAGTGGGACAATGCTCGTTATATATATTATATTAAGATAAAAATAATCTTGTGGGGCATCCCGAACCATCTAAGGCAGATCCGTCCCAGTTTCAGAGTATTTTGGTTGCTGACTATATATGAATAATGTGTGCAGGCTATCATATTAATGGTACGACCACCAGGTGCTCAATGCAACCACAGAATGATAATATTTATTCATCTATTCAGTTTGATAATACTGCATTCCCACTGCAAAACCAGCTAATGAGTGCTTCACACCAATCTCAACTTCCGAGAAATGAAAATGGGCTGACTCATGGTCCACGACAATCAGGCACTCCTGGCTTTCAGAATGTCAGCATTTCAAATCCTACTTATAGAGGATTTGAGGATTACTTCCCAGAGGAGGAGATTCGAACTAGAAGTCACGAGATGCTAGAAAATGAAGATATGCAGCATCTGCTCCGTATTTTTAATATGGGAGGAGAATCTCATGCTTCCTTTAATACTCCAGAAGATGCATACCCTTATTCATCTCCTTACATGCCTGCAGCCTCCATGAACTACAACTTAGATGATGAACAAAACCGTTCCTCAGGAAAGGCTGTTGTGGGCTGGCTCAAGCTTAAGGCAGCTTTGAGATGGGGCATTTTTATTCGGAAGAGGGCTGCTGAGAGACGGGCACAACTTGTTGAGTTGGATGACCCATAGAATATAATATCAGAGCCATCTCACCTGTTATGATCTGAGCTATAACTTATGCGATTAGAGCATCAAATACAACTTTCAGGTACTCAGAGTATCATGCTAAAGTTTTATAGCATGAGTAGACATGAAATCTGGAGTGAATTATTTGGTGCAGCCTTAACTTAAAACTCCTACTGTGCCTTCATAAACATTTGTGCAGTGACTTCTGCCTGTACAGGAATATCACCCTGCGACAACTCTTGTATCTGTTTTACTTTTGATGTTATTTCCACTCAACATTCTTGCCAGAAAGTTGTGAAAACCTGACAGTTTACCACCGGGTTTATACCCAAGTTTTCAGTGGCTTGAAATTGCCATGGTCTCGATTTGGAAACTCGGAAAACTGGGGTCCTTTGTTTACATTTAGCAGGAAGGATCTACTGAATTTTGTGTTGTAAGCTAAATGGGTTGATTCTAACTGGCTTGTTTTGTGTAGTTGCCTTGTGTTACAGTCGTTAGAATCAATAACGAATTGCTGAATTTGAAATTGCTATTTTTGCTTATTTTCCTTTGTGAATGCTTCAGCAGACTCGTAATTCTGCATGCCACATTAGGGCCACTAGTCTTGTGATAATTATTCTAAAAAGTGAGCAAAGATGTTAGACCTGACCTGTTATATTCCTGGATGGACTAATGAATAAACAACACTCATATTTAACTGTGAATTACTCACCATTTTACAGTTCTTACGTCAAAGAGTTGGCTTTTTAAAGTAAACCATCGGTGGTATGAGTTATTGAGCCTTCATGGTTCTGTGTTGGGTTAGGATTAGGAGCATTGACAAAGGATCAAGGTATTGAGTACGGGTGACAGTAAAATGAGTCGACTCGTTTAATCAAACAACCATGGGTTGACTTGAATGATGGTCCAAGTGAATGGTGTTATTGGTGTTCTAACATACCTATTTTAAGTGCATATATGCTACAATAATTATAATATTTTCTCGTAATTCATATCTGTAATTTTTATTTTAAATAAATTATTTTATTTTAATTTAAAATTTAGTATAAACTTTAGAATTTTTTAATTTAATTTAATCAATCCTTGTATATTAAACAAGAGCCTTTTTTTTTTGCACAAGAGTAGGAGTTTTTCTTTGATGAGAGAGTTTTTAAAATTCTATTAATTACTTATATAATTTTATTTTATTTTGTCGTAATTATTTATGAATTAAATTTTAATATTTTTAATGAAAATCATAGATAAATAAAAATACTTTTGTGCTATAATATAACTTATCATAAATCTAAAATATAATTTATATATTTAAAAATATTTATTTATACAAATTTTAAATATAATTTATATTTATCATTTTATTTATTTGTATGATTTATTATAAATTTTAATTATATACAATAAACACTTAACTTTAACTTGTGTATTACTTATATTAAAATACTAGTTTTGATTGTTCATAAAACATGTTTCGAAAAGTCAAATTGAAAAGGTAAAATAGCATTAAATGAAAACATTAATGTGATATCTAATATTATTAATGTAGTATTTATATGAATATTTAAATAATAATATTTTTCTATATAATTTAAGTTATTTTATTTATTAGATATTATATGTAATTAAGTTTAATAATATTATTCAATATAATAAATGTTTTTTAAATTTAATGAATTACACATATATATATATATTAATTTGTTTATTATTAATTATCATTTTAGATAAACTGTATTGAATTTAAATATATCATTTAAAGTATTTATATTTAACTTTTATTGTTTATAAAATATATTTGAAAACAATCAAATAGAAAATAAAATATAGTCTTGTACTCAAATATTAATATGTTATTAATGTTGTGTGTGTATAAATATGTAGATGAACAGATTTTTTTCATTATATAATGTTAATTATGATATTTATTAAAAATATACATAACTAAGATTAATATAGCTAATATTTTAAGTTGTGCATTTCATAGATTAAATATTTATTGTAGATAATTAAATGTTGTAAAAAGTTATATATGCATTAATATATATTACATTTAAATATATAAGTTATATTTAAAATAGATATTTTTAAATATATAATTAAATTTTTTATTAAAGATAAAAAATTTATGTTGTGACACAAGAATATTTTTAATCATTGTTGTTTTTATAAAAAAAATTATTTTTAATTAATAAATAAATATGATAAATACACATATGAATTAGATAAGAAGTGAAGGGAATTCTTAGAAATGTTTCTATAAAAGAATAGTCCCTAAAATACTCTAGCACAAGAAGATAGTTGTCTAAGTTTTTTTTTGTCCTTGGACATGGTACATGCATTGTCCCAGAGTTGACAACCAAAAAATAATTTACGCTCTCAATATATGACTTCTGCTAGTAAAATATTATTTTAACACAAATGATAATTGAATTTAGGATCACTAGGTCGACCCCCTATGTCTTAGAGTAGGCCTTACAACCATTGTGTGTGTGTGCATACAATAACTCAATAATGAAAAATATAGACCTTAATTTGTTAGTCAAGCAACTACTACCAACAACTCTCACGAAAAGTAGTAACAAGCTACACATCAACAGCTCCACAAAACACAACTTGTCTTCAACTAACCATGTCGTGCTTCCATGTAAACATGATCATTATATTCCAACCATTAGGAAAACATTGCTAGAGAAAGCTAGGTTTCAAAAGAAATAAGCATACATAAGTATATGAGAAAATTAACTATACTATAGGCATCAATATCAATATGTAGCTCAACAAGCAATCATCTCATGAACTACAATATTTTAACAAATTAATCATTCCATTCAATAAGATAATCACTCATGCATATGAATAACATCAAATCATATCACATCATATGCATACATCTCAATTAATATGTTGTTACGCATTCACCTACGTACAAAGATCTCCTACACCAAGATGAATAGTCTAAGTGGTTTGATCTTACCAAACCCGCCAATCTTTTTCACACCTTACACACTTGTTAGATCAACAACTAATTGGGATATCAATCCCTATACATGATTTCTCAGATGTCACCACTTAATCTAAGAAAGGTCAGTACCACTATCAGGTATAACATAACTTAAGTTTGAACCTACCATGACATTGGTATGCATTAATCAATTCACCTATGAAATTAATCCACTATCTATCATTGTGATACCATGCACTTCTCCAGTAATCAATTAAGGGTTGTAACCCTCAACTTCATACCATAGTCCAACATTAACTATGGATTTAAAGGAGACTTAATAATCCACTTCAAGAGTTATCACCTACTCAAGGAGAGTTTTTCAACAACTAGTCTCCTAGAGCGTGACACCAATATCCACACTATGAGATATGTAACTTTTGAGAATAACCTCTCATTTAGTCCTAAGTCAATCAATATGCCTAAGTGCCTATAACACTATCAACATCAACACCTCAACAGATCAACAAATTATGCCTAAATATCTTAAATCATTCTCAACATCAAACTTCAACAATATACATTTATATGCGTTACCTCAGGACAATAGATATCAATCTAACAACATTAGTCAACTTCAACATACAAACGCATTTCAACAATTTCAACCATACAACTATTTGTATATATTATTATCTATCATTATACATAGAATAAATATCACAATCAACATACAACATGTATTAGATCTATCTAACTTATTCATGTTCACCATTTAAATCAATCACACAACAAAAAGTTTCAAAGTAAATTACGTTTGACATTACACACCTTGCACTCGACGCCATTGAGATAGGGAATTTTTTGCATCTCCCACGCTTGGTGCCATACAATCCACACCAACCTGGATTAGGTAGAGGTTCCCTAGGTCCTCACACTTAGGGTGATAAAGTCTCATGCCTGGTCCCAAATTAACCCGAACTTTTTCTCCTCATTCTCAATATCACTCCTTTGGTGCTTGGCGCTACTCTAGGTAGAGTCAATTCTCTCACCTCATGCTCGATACCATTCAAACAACACTCCAACGTGACCAAGTTGTTAAATCCACACATGCACACAAAAAGTACTAAATATAGATAATATTAATAGATTGTGTAATATCAACAACAAGTACAATATGATGAGCCTTGCTTACATAGCAAGTAACATATTAAAAATTATTTGTTAAGAGTAATTAACTTAACTAACTTCCAATTATTTATCAAACTTTGAATTATTCCTAAAACAAGTTAGAGGTTATTCTCTCTTTTCATGTCAGATGCCACTATTCTTGCATTCGATGTGAGGAAGACAAAGATCCTTGATTTGAGTCATGCTTGATGTTATAAAGGCACGTCCGATGCTGACGAGTTTTACACATAGCAAATCACAAATTAGGCTCAAACCACCTAAAAATTAGCAAATCCCAAGCATGTAATGCAATATAACATACATATGCATAATCCACATCCTATTCCTTTTACCAAAACAATAACATGAAACAACAATTAAGATCATTCACCAATATTTCACGTTCTTAACTCAATATCAAAACTCTACCCTTCCATTATTCAATCAGAAAATCAACCAACCCAATCACATTTTATGGGATTCAAGCACAATGTAACTCATCAACTCATCAAGAATAGGTTTCTAGCTTCCCTTACCTCCGAAAATCTCCAAATCCAAGAAGAAGAGGTGCAAGGAAGATGGTTTGGAGCTTCACCGAGAGCTTTGCATGACTTAACTCTCTTCGTTCATCGTTCTATTAACCTGAAGCAACAAACACAATAAAAAAAAAATCAAGACTCTGGGAAAGAATCACCCTCTCAAGATAAGGTTCATAAAAGAAGAGAACTCATGGATCCAAAACACTTCTCTTTAGTTTATCTCTAAAAGATTTTGAAAAACTGAACTTATAAAACTAAATGCTTAACAGGAACCTTGTATACTTCTCCCTTAGGATCAAACTGAACTTCTGTCCAAAAAAATCCTCTAAAATACATATAAACTCCTCAGGAATTTCTTAACTATTAGAGTTCCTGAACCACACCTCAAAACACTACACGTCACATAATTGTTGATAAAAATACAATAATTAACAAAAACTTACAGTGTTAGACCAAGAGGCATGGTTATGTGCATTTAATATAGAATGGTTGATTATCAAATATAATAAATTAAAGAAATTTAATATAACTTAAATATGATTTTAGTCTCTACAAAATGAGTAAGTTTTGATTTTGATTCTTGTAAAAAAAACTTCTTTATTTTTCATTCTCTAAAATTTGAAACTATATTTTTAATCCCTATTATTATTTTATATTTTTTAACTGCTTTATTTGTTTATTACCCACAACTATATGTGATAATTTGTCACTGTATGATTCCCCTAAACTATTTTATAAATCCTTCAAACAATTGTTATTATATACTTTAAAATGATCAATAGAGACAAAAAAAAAAAATAGTGATTTTAAATTTTATACAAACCAAAAATAATGATCAATAGAGACCAAAGTCAAAATTCAACAATTTTACACAGATTAAAAATATATTTATTTCGTAATATATTTATTGAATGTATGACTATTTATGTTAAAAAATATTTGCTAAGGAATTTAATACTTATATTTATTAATTAAAAATTGTATTAAATTTTTTATTACGTTCATTACAGTTTTAAATAATTAGTTGACTAAACATATTTGAAAATAGAAAATTTAAATGTTTATTATTATAATATATAGAAATTAATATAATAATAATAATAGTTTCTGAGTTTTTATCTGTAATTTTTATTTGTTATTTAAAAAATCTATAATTTTTATTTTAAATAATTTATTGTTATTTAATTTAAAATCTACTATAAGCTTTGGAAATTTCTTATGTTCATTATTAATTTATTTATAGTAGTCTTTTAAAATGTACCTAAATTATATTTTAAAAGTATTTTATTTTATTTTTAATCTTTTCTGAATACATACATCTTTCATTTACTTTTAAATGATTTTATAAAGAAAAAAATACATTAATTATCACTTTTTGATGTGTCAATTTTCATTCATGGCGATCTACAAATTTATTTATTTTCCATTTTTTCTTGATTTAAATTTCAACTCTCAAATATTACCAAAATAAAAATCTCAACTCTGGATTAAATATTAATAATCCATAAAATATTTATTTCTTTATCTTTTCTTATTTGAAAATTCTTTTCTTTAAATTAGAGGTTCTTTAAAGGTTAATACTTAATTGTAGATTAAAAAAAGACGCATTTTTTAATTGATTATTTCTATCTCGATTAAATTTTTAAGGCTTTATTAAGTGATTTGTATTTTTAAACAAAACTAATGGGTTTTTGCAACTTATCTCACCTATAGTTATTACTTATCACATGATACTTTTTTTTTCTTACAAAAGCAAAGTGAAATAACATTATACAATACATACCACTTAAACCAATCAGGTAGCTTCTAATTGTCTAAACTAAACCCACAAATGCTGAGATAGTGCAGCGTTTATTTTCCAAAAAAAATATTAAAAAAATGACATGAGATATATATAAAAGTTAGAACTGAAATTGAGTTTAAATTTGAAATTGAGAAAAGTCTGTTTTTCCAATACATGTATGTAAATAATTGTTATATAACAGAAGGTCAAATGACAGGTTTAATATAGGGTACGTTACTTCTGAAAACCTTGAAACAGATGAATGAGCACAAATATGTTTAAAGCAAAAGAGAGAAAGAAAAAAAAAACGTTTATATTTTGCAAAACTTTTACTAAAATTAATTTTCAACTGTCAAATATAATTAATGCTTAAATAATAAAATTAATAAGGTAGTCCATGTACATTAAATTGTTTCTGACAATTAGAAGCTGAATTGATTATTATTCTTGAAGTAGCATGAAGTTGGAAAAACATTAATTGGCTTAAAGATTTTGAAAATCCTAAAAAAATTGAAAGCAGGTGACAACTAATGGGACCTTTAATAGCAAAACCCTTGCAACGTTAGTTGAGCGATAGAGGTGGCAGAAGCATGCACGTAATGATAAGAAGCGAAACGACATAGCGAGCATTGGAAACGTGTGTCGTTTCATGGTATTGACCCGGAACCCTAAGGCCACGTGAGTGTGAGTGTGAGTGTGAGTATGCGTGAGGAGTGAGAATAGTGAGTATGTTCGAAAGGAAAGAGAGGTATGTGATGTGATGTCAGAGGTGCAACCTCGTTCACCTCAATCCAATACCTTTACGCAACAACATCGTAAAAGGTAACATCATTGAATTTCATGCTTGTTGTTGCTCCGCTATAAAAAGAGATCCAATGCTCCTAAGTTTTTGCATCAGGTTCTGGTTGACGCCTCAGAACCAATCCTTATTATTACCTTCTCATTCCCCATGGCCGATGATGCTAATGCTATGGCCAACAACAACCTCGTCCCAACATTACCCCAACCAAAGAGACCTAGAAGGGGGGACACAGATTCTGTGGATCACACTCTTTCCCATAACC